ACTTTTGGCGCCCAAATGGCGCTATACGGGACTTCTGATGCCTTGATGTGCAGGGCATTCTCGACAACCCTGCAGGGGCCAGCCCGCGCGTGGTACAGCGGCCTGAAGGCCGGGATCGTCGCCTCTTTCGATCAACTTGCCAAAGATTTCAAGCTTAACTTCCTGGCTTACGCTCGACCAAAGCCGTCCGTGGTGTTGCTCCTCGGATTCAACCAAAGGGAGGACGAGCCCCTCTCCCATTTTGTGAACCGTTTTACGACCCAAATTCGGGGACTATCGGACGTTCACCCCTCTCTATTGATGCAGGCATTCATGACAGGCATGCGGCCTTCCAGGTTCTTTTGGTCTCTCGTAGAGAGGCCCCCCGCCGCGGTCCCCGAGATACTCCAGCGTGCTAGCCAGTTCATCGCCGCGAAGACATGGATGGCTGAAAAGCGGGAGGAACACAAAAAGGTCAAGTCGGAGCCGCCTCGATAGCAACAACCCGCCGCGTCCGGCGTAAGTTGGACAGATCCGACCCAAGGCCTCCCCTCCCCACCTTGAATTCGTCCCAGACAGAAATATTTCTCCATGAGAAGGAGAAAGGGCTACTTAGGGATCCTCACCCGATGAGGAACCCGCGAGAACTCGCGGACCGTTCGAAATATTGCCGCTTCCATCGGCAGCATGGACACGACACTGAACAGTGCCATGAATTGAAAAGGCAAATTGAGGAGCTCATTCGCAGAGGGCATCTCGGCCAATACCTCCGGCCGGACAAAGAGCTGTCACCATGCCCGGAAGGCCCCATCGAGCGACACGTCGACGTAATAGCTGGCGGTCCCGCATCGTGGGGGGGCTCCATGTCGGGAAGAAAGGCGTACGCCCGAGCCGCCCCAGACGAAGCCCCCGGACACGGGCCCGAGCCCGAGATTACTTTCCTAACCGGAGTATCTGAGCAACCCGAGCACGACGACGCTCTCGTGATATCGGCCAGGGTAGCCAACGCGCAGGTGAGAAGGATCATGGTCGACACGGGGAGCTCGGCTGACATACTCTACTTCGACTCCTTCCAGAAGCTCGACTTGGCTAGGGAGAACATGAAGCCGATATCCTCAGCGCTCACCGGATTCACAAGAGATTCAATATCGCCCCTGAGGGCTATCACTCTGCCCTTAACCTTAGGGGCCCCGCCAAGGTCGAAGACGGTGATGACCACTTTTCTTGTGGTCGACCTTCCCACTGCTTACAACGCCATACTTGGCCGGCCGACCCTCAACAAAGTCAGAGCCGTAGTCTCAACCTACTACCAAACCATCAAGTTCCCGACTCACGCTGGGGTCGGGGAAGTTATGGGAAGCCCCCGAGAGTCCAGGCGATGCTACCTGATCGCCGTTTCGTTACACAAGAGGGCCAGGATCGAGCCACCACTGGAGGATCCGTGAGAAACCAAAAGATTGGCCCCCCATCCCGAGCCGAGGGGATCCACCGTTGACATACCACTGCAAGAAGCTCGGCCAGACCAGACGGTCAAGGTCGGTTCGGAACTATCCGAGCGGGAACGGAAGCAACTCATCGGTCTCCTACGGGAGAATGCCGACATCTTCGCTTGGTCCCCGTCCGACATGACGGGTGTCGACCCAGGGGTCGCACAGCATCATCTCAACATCCCGCTTGACGCTCGCCCGGTAAAGCAAAAACCCAAGCGGCAGGCCCCTGACCGACAACGCGCCATACAAGAAGAGGTGGGCCGACTCTTAGCGGCAGGCTTCATAGAAGAAGCCAGATATCCACAATGGCTATCCGATGTAGTCCTCGTAAAAAAACACAAATGGAAGCTGGAGGATGTGCGTCGATTATACCAGTCTCAATAATGCATGCCCGAAAGACTGCTACCCCCTCCCGAAGGTTGACCAACTAGTCGACGCAACGGCCAGACACGCACGCCTCTCTTTTATGGACGCCTTTTCGGGATACAACTAGATCAGGATGGCGCCCGAAGACAAAGAGCATACGACCTTCCTCACCGATCAAGGGGTGTACTTCTATAAGGTCATGTCGTTCGGGTTGAAAAACGTCGGAGCTACATACCAGAGAACGATGAACAAGATGTTCGCCCATCAGATCGGGAGGAACATGGAGATTTATGTGGACGACATGATTGTGAAAAGCCAAAAGGTCGGAGCACACCTTGCCGACCTAACCGAGGCGTTCGCCACACTACGCAAGTTCGGCATGCGACTTAACCCCACGAAGTGCACTTTCGGCGTCACCTCGGGGAAATTCCTCGGGTTCATCATACACGAAAGAGGAATTGACGCCAACCCGGAGAAGGTTCAGGCAATCATCGACATGTAGTCGCCTCGGACGATTAAAGACCTGTAGCGCCTTAACGGAAGGCTTGTCGCCATGTCTCGCTTCCTCGCCCGGTCGGGCGATCGCTGCCTCCCTTTCTTCAGGGCGCTCAAGAACTCGAAAAGCTTCCAGTGGACGATGGAGTGCGAGGAAGCTTTCAAACAAATAAAGCAGCACCTGGCCAGCCTCCCCCGACTCGCCTCTGTTTCTCCCGGGAAGAAGCTGGGCCTCTACCTAGCGGCCTCCCCGCATGCAGTCAGTTCCGTCCTGGTCAAAAAAAGCTCCGGCGAACAGCTTCCGATCTACTATGTCAGCCACGTCCTGAGCGGACCCAAGACACGTTACCCACCGATAGAGAAACTCGCACTCACCCTGGTGCTGTCGGCTCGGAAGTTGCGCCCCTATTTCCAGGCCCACCCGGTGGAGGTCATCACCGACCAACCTCTTCGGCAGGTCTTATCTAAATTTGATGTTGTAGGGCGGCTCCTCAAATAGGCGGTGGAGCTTGGCGAACATGATATCAGATACGTGCCCAGGACCGCCATCAAGGCCCAAGAGTTAGCCGACTTCATCGTAGAGTTAACTCAGACGGTAGATGGGGATCTCGAGCGACCTCCCGAAGCTTGGATCCTACACATGGATGGCTCGGCTAGCTCACAGGGTGTCGGCGCGGGGCTGGTTCTGCTCGCCCCCGACGGATGCTCATTCGAGCGCTCCCTCCGCTTCGGGTTTAAAGCCACTAACAACGAAGCGGAATACGAGGCGCTCCTATCAGGACTCAGGTTGGCCCTCGAGATGCAGGTGGCTGCTATACACGTCCTCACCGACTCGCAACTCGTTGCCGAGCAGCTCAGCGGCGGATACGAAGCTCGGGACCCGACCATGGCGAAATACCTAGCACGGGTAAGGGACCTGACTGCCAAATTCCCTTATTTTACGTTATCTAATGTTCCGAGGGAGGAGAATGAGCGAGCCGACACGCTAGCTAAGCTGGTGTCAAAACCGACCTCCAAAGCATGGCCGGAGGTTGAGGAGCTCCCTACCCGCGCCATCGAAGTAGCGTCTACGGCCCCCAGCAGCGCGCCAATCACATGGGTACAAGAACTGCTATGCTTCAAGCAGGATGGGACCCCTCCCCCATGACGAAGTTGCGGCTCGGCGCCTGCGTCGTACACACGCATGGTACACCGAGGAGAGTGGGCGGCTCTATAGGCGGTCCTTCACCTACCCCCTCCTACGATGCTTGGAGCCCGACGAAGCCCAGACGATCCTAGCCGAAATCCACGAGGGAGTCTGCGGAGAACACATCGGGGGGCGAACCTTGGCACACAAAATACTTCACCAAGGTTACTACTGGCCGACCATGTGCCGGGACGCGAAGGTGATAGAACCA